TTTCTGATTTTGCGTATTTGGGTTCTCTCTCTTTGTTTCTTGGTGAGCCTACCTAAGGGTCCATCAATCTTGTTTATCTTTTCGAAAAACCAGCTCTTTGTTTCATTGATCCTTTGAATTGTTTTTTTGGTCTCTATGTTGTTTATTTCTGCTCTGATCTTTATTATTTCCTTCCTTCTGCTTGTTCTGGGGTTTTCTTTTTGCTTGCTCTCTAGTTCTTTAAGTTGTGAGGTTAGATAGTCTTTTAGAGATATTTATTGTTTTATGAGGTAGGCCTGTAGTGCTATGAACTTCCCTCTCAGAACTGCTTTCGCTGCATCCCATAGATTTTGTGTTGTTGTGTCTTCATTTTCATTGGTTTCCAGGAAGTTTTTGATTTCTTCCTTGATCTCCTCGGTGACCTATTCATTGTTTAATAACATTCTATTTAGCTTCCATATGTTCAAATGTCTTTGTATGTTCTTCTTGCAATTGATTTCTAGTCTCATGCCATTGTGATCTGAGAAGATGCTTGATATGATTTCAGTCATCTTGAACTTTTAGAGACTTAGTTTGTGCCCTAACATGTGGTCTATCTTTGAGAATGTCCCATGTGCACTTGAGAAGAATGTGAATTCTGTAGTTTTGGGGTGTAATTCTCTGTAGATATCTATTAAATCCATTTGGTCTAGTGCTTCATTTAGGGCCTCTGTTTCCTTGCTAATTTTTTGTCCAGAGGATCTATCCAGTGATGTCAGTGGGGTGTTGAAGTTCTCTGCTATGATTGTATTGCTATCAATTTCTCCTTTGAAGTCCTCCAGAAGATTTTTAATATATTTTGGTGCTCTTATTTGGGTGAGTATATGTTTATCAAAGTTATATCTTCCTGTTGTTTAGATCCTTTCAATATTATGTAGTGGCCTTCTTTGTCTCTAGTAATGGCCTTCATTTTGAAATCTATTTTATCAGATATGAGTATTGCTACCCAGCATTTTTTTTCCTTTCCGTTTGCTTGGAAGATTTTTTTTCATATCTTCACTTTCAATCTATGTGAGTCTTTTGTTGTGAGGTGGGTCTCTTGTAAATAACATATAGATGAGTCATGCATTTTTATCCAATCAGCTACTTTGTGTCTTTTTATGGGAGCATTCAATCCATTTACATTTATGGAGATTATTGGTATGTACTTATTTATTGCCATTTTTATTTAGTGTGGTTCTATTTTTCTTCCCATTTCCTCTGCTAATTACAGCAGTCCTTTTAACATTTCTTGCAGTGCTGGTTTCATGCTAATGTATTCCCTTAGCCTTTTTTTTTTTTTTTTTTTTGTCTGGGAAGCTCTTTATTTGACCTTCCATTTTGAATGACAGCCTTGCTGGTTAGAGTAGTCTTGGATTCAGATCCCTGTTTTTCATGACCTTTATTACTTCATGCCATTCCCTTCTGGCCTGTAGTGTTTCTTGTAAGAAGTCAGCTGAGAGCCTTATGGGGTTTCCTTTGTAGGTAACCTGTTGCTTATCTCTTGCTGCTTTTAGGAGTCTCTCTTTGTCTTTAATTTTTGGCAGTTTGATTACTATGTGTCTTGGTGTGGGCCTGTTTGGGTTCTTCTTACTTGGGGCTCTCTGAGCTTCTTGAACTTGAATACCTTCTTCCTTCACCAAATTAGGGAAGTTTTCTGTCACTATTTCTTCAACTATATTCTCTAACCCTTGCTCATTTTCTTCTTCTTTGGGGACTCCTATGCTGCAAATGTTATTACGTTTCCAGTTGTCCCACAGTTCTCTTAAACTGTTTTCCTGTTTTTTAATTGTTTTTTCCTTTTGGTTTTCTGATTGGTTAATTTTTTCTACCCTATCTTCTAATTCACTGATCAGGTCCTCAGCTTTCTCTACTCTGCTATTTAGACTTTCCAATGTGTTTTTTATTTCTGATATGTCATTCTTCATTTATTCTTGGTGGTTTTTAGTTTCCAACTGGTTGATTTTCAACATTTCTATGTCTTTACTCATGGTGCTCATGTCCTTACACATTTTGTTGAGCTTCCTCAGTTCTGTTAACTTACTTAACTGCACCTCATTTATCTCATCTTGGTGGCGGTCTCTTGTTCTTTCATTTGGCTTTTGTTTCTGTTTTTCACCATTTTGGCTATCACAGTGGGCTTTGGAGACTGCCAAATTTTCCCTCGGTGTTCTGCTGTTTGTGGCTCCCTCTCCTGCGTTTGGATGAGGCAGGGATGAGCCACTTTAAACACCACTGTCAAGTCTTAACTTTCCTGGTTAGAGTTGCTAGCCCAGGAATGGTAGTTATCCTCTAGCTTTTTTTGCCTGGAGGCTATTAGTAGTGGTCACCTGAAGAACCTTGGTTTCTGAGTTGCCTGAAAAACTCCCTCAGGTGCTTAGTGTGGGTGGGGCAGATGCTGGTTGTTAATGGGCCTCAATTAGCATTTCAATGGCCACCAGGTGGGGTTGAATCTCTGAGGGAAGGGCTGCCGCCTTTCCCCAGAGCCCTGGGAAGGAGTAAGATGACCACAGTCCTGTGTGGCTGCACTCAGCAAAAGCTCTGAGCACCCTCCAAATCCCGAGTGTCCCCACACAGTTCCAGTCCAGTCTGCCTTCCCTCTGCCAGAGCCCAAGGTGAGTGGTTGCTGCCAATTTAGCCTCTGTCCAGACTCTGCGTTGTGGAGCCGCCTGGGACTTTTAACCCGAGGGCGCTGCTCCCAGCTAAGTGTGGTGGAGTCTGTGAGTCTGTGTCACCAGCTGATGACGTGGCACCCAGCCAAGGCGTCAGCAGCTTCCAGCCGAGTCCCCTGGTCCCATCCGAGTCTGCTAGTCCCAACCCAGGCCGCTGCGGACCGTGGGTTCCCAGCCACCTCTCACATCCTCGCAAGCCTACCAGGATTGAGTCAGTGTCCCTGGCTATGTGGTCCTCCACGCTCCCTTTTGGTTTCCCCTTCCTGACGATTTGTGTTTATTTTTGTTGTAAATCCAGTTTGGTCCTGGGAGATGGTCTGTGTAGCTACATTCACTCCGCCGCCATTTTTCTGTCTCTATATCCCATTTTCTTTATCCATTAATTCTTTGATGGGTAGGTTGTATCCATATCCTGGCAATTGTGCATAATGTTTCAATAAAAATGGACGTGTATATATCTCTTTGATATCCTGTTTTCATTTCTTTTGGGTACATACCCAGAAGTGGGTATATTTTTAATTTTTTGAGGACCCTTCCTCTTGTTTTCTTTAGTGGCTGAACCAATTTACATTCCTGCTAACAGTGCACAAGGGTTCCCTTTCCCCTACATTCTCCACAACCCTTGTTATTTTTTGTCTTCTTGGTAATAGTAATTCTAACACATGAGAGGTGATATCTTACTGTGTTTCTGTTGTTGTTTGGTAATCCTCACCCAAGAATATTTGTTCCACTGATATTTTTAGAGGGAGGGGGTGAGAGAGAGAGAGAGAGAGAAAGAGAGAGACATTGATTGGTTGCCTCCTGTGTTACCCCAAACCCGCCACGGAGCTCGTCAACCCCATGTCACCCCACCTACTTGCCCTTGACCAGCAATTGTATCTGCAACCCTTTGGTGATTGGGCCAACACTTTAACCACTGAAACACACTGGCCAGGGCTCACTTTTTTTTTTATTTGAATTTCCCTAATGATTAGTGATGATGAGCACCTTTGCATGTACATGTTGACCATTTGTTTATTTTTGGGAAAATGTTTATTCAAGTTCTTTGCCTATTTCCTAGATGGATTATTTTTATTTGTTATTGAATTATATGAGTTCCTCATGCATTTTGGGTATTAACCCAAAAACTCAAGTTTTTACCCTAAGCTTTCTCATAGGAGTTTTACAGTTTCAGATCTTAAATTCAAGTCTTTAATCCATGTTGAGTTAATTTTTGTGAGTTTTGTAAGATAGGGGTCTAATTTCCTTTTTCTGCATGTGGTTATCTAGTTTTCTCAACACCATTTGTTGATGAGATTTTTGTTTTCCCATTGAGCATTCTTAGCTCCCTTGTCAAATATTAGTTGAACATACGTGCAGGGGTTTAATCTGGGCTGTTTATTCTGTTCTATTGGACTATGTCAGACAGAAGTTTACAACCTAGCATGAGTTCATAACAAATGTGATGCATTTATCTGAGGTGTCTTCTGTTTTATAAAGAGAACTGCTAGTATCCTGGTAGATATTGGTAAAAAAGCCAAGGAGCTGCTTATATTGAATCAGAAGACAAGTGTAAAACAAGAACTTTCCCAGAGGCTTCCCAAACTCTTTTTGGGAAGACAAAGGCCAGATAGAGAAAACATTGCAACTGACATGGGACACTAGTAAAGCAGGTGCAAATGAAATGAAGTGGGTGAAGTAATTTGATACTTGATGTTACAAAATTTTTTTTTTTTAAAGTTTGCAAAAATAAAATTAGAATGTTTATTACTTTTTTCTACTGGCAGCAATGAAAATCACTAGAAACTGTACTTTTGTCCTTTTCAAATAATCTGCATTAAAATCATACTTTCCCAAATAATTGATATAGAAGATAAAATTTAGGTTTAAAGTCTTCAAAATATTATATATCAAAGACTGAAATACTGATTTTTCTTCCATTAATGAAGAGAACAAGAGATCCAATTTAATCAAGATCTGACATTTGTAAATTTCAAGCATTTAACTGAGCTAAAAGATCAAGGGATAATTATAACAATGACAGGTAAAGAATATCATTTGTGCATTTTCTAGGTTTGCTACATTACTCTATATGCAGGGAATCACAGAAGTTCTCAGATCCAAGGTCAAAGAATGGGATTTGGGCGAGACTCTTCACGCCACTGTTACGTCAGAGGCACGACATGCAGAGGGTGCAGGCAGGGGTGTCTAGGAACCCATGCATTAGACAAGACAGGCTGAGACTACTGCCAAGCGTGCACTGAGTAAGTAGGGGTGCTGCTCAGTGTTCTTCATACTTAATGGTTTCCATGAAAATAGATGCAGAGGCAGATATGTGTGCACCTTCCGAAGCATCTTCTTCATTTGGTTTCTTGTGCTTTCTTTGCATTCTGTTTTTCTTTTGCCTTTTCTACTAGTGGTATTAACTGCTGGTGTTCTGCTAACGTATTCAACAATTCCATAATGAAAGGCAGGCAATTATGCTTCTTTCTGATATTTTCAATCTTATATCTTTTTAGTTTCTGTACTTCTTCAATGAGCATCTTGTTCTTGGCAACCTCTGATTGAATAGCACTTGACATACTACCCTGATCTGTATCCATGGGTTCCTCCTCAGCGAGTTGTCTCTGTAACTCTGCTATCTTCTGTTCGTATCTCACTTTTCTGTCGGACACGATGGCCATTAAGTTAAATCGAATTTCACCTTCACTGTACTTTTGTATCCTTTTCTCGACGACGGGCCTCACGGCGCTGATCCAGTTGTCTTGATTGCACGCACCTAGGTCAATGGGTCCTTCTCCTAATCCGTCCAGCTCGTAGAGCCTTCGGTTAACAGGAACGTAACTGACAAAGTGAAAAGCATCTTCTTTGGCCGATGTCTTCGCGTCGAATTCAAACATCCGCTGCCTGGCGAAGCTGTTGTGGACTTGCCGGATCACGTCCGAATTGCTCAGTGGCAAACCTTTCCTAGCTGCATCAAAGCTTTGTGAAAATTCTTTAAACTCTGACAATGTCTCTCCTGAATGGACATCTTGATTAGTGCAGTTCAACAGCACACTTACTATGGCTTGTGTAGCACAAGCACTATTAATTACCTGCAGGGCAAAAAATATCGTGTCAAGCCTGGGGTCCTGAACCACAGAGCCCGCTGGTTCTTCTCCTGGCTGCCACTTGAAGAGGAAAATCAACCCGTGAACAGGCTTTAATTTTTCAAAATTCTCAGGCTTTAAACTCCATATTTCTTCTACTTGGGCTCCTCGGCAACCGAATCCCTTAATGAGCTCGGTGAAAACCCCGGGGTCACTTTCCGTGGGGCACCAGTCCCCGGCATTGCCCGTCATGGCCCCGGCCACACACCGCCCCGCTCCGCCCGGACGCTGGCCGCCACCGGCACCCACTGCCGCCAGCCACCGATCTCGGCAAACCCGCCACGGAGCTCGTCAACCCCATGTCACCCCACCTACTTCCCGCACAAAAATTTTTTTGAGAAAGTTTTCATGGGAAACATTGGAAATTTTCTTTACTTACTTCTGACTATTTAATTAGTTTTTCATTGTTTTGTTCAGCATTATATATTGGTGTGGAGGGACACCATGGTAACTTCAGTGTTTGGGGCACCTCAAGGTCTTAATTCAGCTAGTGAGGACAGCAGAGACAAGGTCATGTCCTTTAATGAACCTATGGAAGAGAGACTGGAGTTAACAATCCCTGGACTGAGAAGTTCCCTGTTTTTCTGCTTCACTCTAAATTCTTGCAGATCTTTAGATGATTATTGGTATAGTCCTCCAAATATCTTTAATTTTCAAGTAATTTGTAAAAGTTTGGGACTTTCTGATAGGTGCTTGGGTTGGTCTGTGTGATTGAGAATCTGTCTTGCTTGGAATACAGCAATAGTCACCATTTTCACATGGCTTTTTCACGTGTTCTCTAGATTTGCAGTTTTTCCTGCAGTGTCCCTTTATGAGCCAGCAAGATTTCCAGCCCCTGCAAACTGAAAAGAGTGAAGAAAGGCAATCATCTCAAGATATTGATGCTCATAGTCATAAGAATTAGGGTGACCCTATCAGTTTTTTTTTTTTAAATATATGTTTTTATTTATTTTTTAGAGAGAGAGAAAGGGAGGAGATAGAAACATCAATGTGAGAAACATGCATTGGATGCCTCCTGCACGCCCCCCTACTGGGGATTGAGCCCACAACCCAGGCATGTGCCCTGACCAGGAATGGAACCGGGACCTCATAGTCCATGTGCTGATGCTCAATCCGCTGAGCCACACCAGCTGGGCAGGGTAACCCTAGGTGTAATCTTCACAACAATACTGTGTTTATTAAGGAAGAATATGTAAGCAAAGCAAGGTTTGGTATATACTATTTCTAAGTATATTATCATCAATGGCAAAGGAACTTGGTAGCCAACAGGAACTGATGTTATTTGGTAAGAAGTATTTTGAGTATGTGAAATTAGTGAGCAGAGTGGGCTAATTTAATTTCACCTCAGCTGAGTTGTTTGCATTTGTCATACCACAAATATAAGATTTGCAACTTGAATCGAATACACAAATGTCACAAACTGATTGTTCTAAAAGGCAACAATAGCCCTGGCAGGTCTGCTCAGTGGTTAGAGTACTGGCCTGTGGACTGAAGGGTCATGGGTTTGATTCCTGGTCAAGGGCATGTACCTGGGTTGCAGGTTTGATCCCTGGCCTCAGTTGGGGTGTGTGTAGGAGGCAACTGATCGATATGTCTCTCTCACATCAATGTTTTTCTCTTTCTCCCTCCCTTCCATTCTATCTAAGGTAAATCAGTGGAGAAATATCCTCAGGTGAGAATTAACAACAACAACAACAACAACAAAAAAGCAACAATGAAACAAAGTTAATGTTTTAGTTGAAATTCCCAGAAACACAGCTGTGGTAGATTATCACTGATTCTCACACTGAAGTATGTATCACAATCCACCACAGGGCTTCTTAAGACACAGATTGCTGGGCCCCACCTCCAGAGTTTCTGATTTAGTATGCTTGGGATGGGCTTGAAATTTTGTATTTCTAAAAATGACAATGGTGTTTTTCACAGAAATAGAAAAGGCAATTCTAAAATTCCTATGGAACCACTAAGGACCCAAATAGTGAAAGCAATCTTGAGAAAGAACAAAGCTGGAGGCATCATGCTTCCTGACTTCAAATTACGTTACTAAGCTAAAGTAATCAAAACAGTTTGATACTGACTTCTGGTCAAGATGGTGGCACTCGCCTCCTCCCACAACCACATCAAAATTACAACTAAACTACAGAACAACCATCCTTCAGAACTGCCTGAAATCAAGCTGAATTGAAGTCCTACAACTAAAAAATTAAAAAAGAAGCCACACTGAGACTGGTAAGAGGTACAGACGGGCTGGTCCCACACCCATGTTTGGAGGATAAAAATCAGGAGAGATACCTTGACTATGAAGGTCCTCCCAGAGGAGAAAGGGGGTTCCAGTCCCACAACAGGCCCCCCAGCTCAGGGTTCCAGAGCCCAAAAGAGAAGTCCCCATAACTTCTGGCTGTAAAAACCAGCGGAAACTGAGGCTGAGGAAAGTTGAGGCTGCTGCAGTCCAGGTAGTTCCTCTTAAAGTGCCCATGCATGAACTTACTGGGACTTGCTCTCTCCTGGCTCCAGCATGGGGGAAGCAGCTTGAAAGACACCAGAGACATATGGGGAAGAACTGAGTTATTTGGCATAAGAGTGAGAGCTGGAGAGGTTGCTTTCTCCGGGACATACATGCTGGTGGAGGGCGTTTTTCCTTTGGTGAGCCCTTCTCTCATGGGGCCGGCAGACGGCCACCATATTTGGGACTCCAGCAACCTGACTCACACTGTTTGCCCACCCTGGTGATTCCCTGAGGCCCTGCCCCACCCAATTTTTGGGCCCACCCAAGCTGTTTCCAGTTGCTTTACCATAGGCCTGCTTCAGATTTTCCTAAATTCTCTCAAACAAACAGCATCTGGCCTCAGTGAGCACCATATTTATTGCTAAATGACCCCAGGCCTGGCACTAGAAGCAGCCAGCCTTGGTCCACAACTTGGTTTTGCCTGGGTACCTCCAAGCCCAGCACAAGAAACAGCCATCTATATATCGCTTTGTAGCTTATGCCCGGTGGCCTCAGGTAGAACACAGGTAGAGGCTGACCTTGCCTCAGAGCCAGCACACCCAGTGGACAGCTTCAGACCACATCAAAGCACCACAACCTAACTGCCTCCACAAGCAACACACTTAAGGAGCAGATTCAGTGGGTACCAGAGCCCTGTTGAAGTAAATCTTGCTCTGTGTGGTGAGATGCTGCACAGCAGATCCTCCAAGGTAGTCAGAGGTCAGTGGTTAGTGGGCACAGCCAGTCTTTGCAGCTGATCAGCTTGACTAAATGCCTCCCATTGATGTGCCAACAGCAGTCAAGACTCAATTACAACAGAAGGGTATACAGTCTACGTGAGGGGTGCATCTCGAGGGCCCAGCTGGGGTGATCAGGGAGGCTGTGCCACTAGACCCTGCAGGACACCTACTATAATAGGCCATCCTATGAAACCTAGGAGACATAGCAACTCTACCTAACACATAGAAACAAACACAGGAAAGCAGCCAAAATGAGGAGACAAAGAAACATGTCCCAAATGAAAGAAAAGAACAAAACTCCAGAAAAAGAACTACATGAAAGGAGATAAGCAATCTTTGCAGAGTTCGAAACATTGGTTATAAGGATGCTCAAGGAACTTAGTGAAAATTTCAAGGAACTTAGTGAGGACTTCAAGAGCATTAAAAAGGACAAGTCAGAAATGAAGGATGCACTAACTGAAATAAAGAATAATTTGTAGCCCTGGCCAGTTTGGCTCAGCAGTTAGAGCATCGGCCTGCAATCCAGAGAGACCTGGGTTCAGTTCCTGCTAAGGGCATGTACCTCGGTTGCAGTTGTCCCCGGCTCCAGTTGGGGTTGTGTGGGTGCCAGCCAGTCAATGTGTCTCTTTCACATTGATGTTTCTCTCTCTCTCTCTCCCCCCCCCCTCTCTCAGCCCCTTTCCTCCCACTCTATTTGAAGATAAATTAAAAGAAAGTCCTGGGGTGAGGATAATAATAATTTGTGGGGAATCAATTGTAGAGTAGGCAAAGCCAAGAAACAAACCATTTATTTGGAATATAAGGAAGCAAAAAACACCCAATCAGAACAGCAAAACAAAAACAAAAAATTGAGGGTAGTGTAAGGAGCCTCTGGGACAACTTCAAGCCTACCAACATTTGCATCATGGGGGTGCCTGAAGGAAAAGAGAGAGAGCAAGAAATTGAAAACCTATTTGAAAAAGTAATGACAGAAAACTTCCCTAACTTGGTGAGGGAAACAGATAGATATACAAGCCCAGAAAGCATAGAGAGTTCCAAATAAAATGACCCCAAAGAGGTCCACACCAAGACACATCATCATCAAAATGCAAAAGGTTAAAGACAAAAGAGAATCTTAAAACCAATAAGAGTAAAGCAGTTAGTTAACTACAATGGAGCTCCCATAAGACTGTCAGTTGATTTCTCAAAAGAAACTTTGCAGGCCAGAAGGAAGTGACAAGAAATATTCAAAGTGATGAAAAGCAAGGACCTATAACCAAGATTACTCTATCCTGCAAAGCTATCATTTAGAATCGATGAACATATAGAGTTTCCCAGACAAGAAAAAGCTAAAGGTGTTCATCACCAAACCAGTATTATAGAAATGTTAACATGTCTTCTTGAAAAAGAAAAAGAATAAAAATATGAACAACAAAATGGCAATAAATACACTTCTATCAACAATTGAATCTACAAACAAAATGAATAAGCAGAACAGAAACACTCATAGATATAGATAATTTTTTGTTGATTGCCAGATGGGAGGGGGGTTAGGGAATGGGTGAAAAAAGTGAAGGGATTAAGAAGTACAAATTGATTGTTAGAATGATGAACCTCACAGGGAAGTGTGTGTGTGTGTGTGTGATAAACCAAATAATTATATGCGTATATGCATAACCGAAGGACACAGACAATAGTGTGGGAAAGGCAGGAGGGGGGCAGGAGCAGGGAAGAGGGGGTCAATGGGGGAAAAAGGTGGGACACTGTAATACATTCAATAATAAAGATATATTAAAACAACAACAACAACAACAATATGATACTGGCTTAAAAACAGAAACATAGACCCATGGAATACCATACTTTGAAACATGCAGTAATTATTGATATGCAACTGGATGAATCATCATAGAAAAAACAACTCATGTAACCAGCACCAGAAGACCCCTTCATGTCCTCTTACAGTCACTAATGTTCCTCCTTCCCTC